CCTAAACTAAACCCCAAACCCTAAACTAAACCCTAAACCCTAAACCCTTACTTTGCGACAGCGGGGGCTCCTTTCTTAAAGAATAGAACCCGAAATCCAAGACACGCAAAGGGCCTAAGAGCCACGGTTTAGGGTTTAGGGCTTCCTAGACTTTTACCTGCTTGGGCTATATATGGGTAGTTGTCAAAACTAGGGTCCCTTTTTGGGCCCCTTAAATATTAGTTGGGGTATTTTTATAAGCCAAAACAGGGACCCTACTATTGACAACCTGCTTGGGGACTAAGACCGGCGGCTCCGATTTTCCGATCCCGGTTTCGGCTCGAGTCACTCGAGTCTAGAAGGTTTAGCACGTGGATCAGCGATCTCACGAATGGAAGCAGCTGGGCAAGTGAAGGTTGGTTGGCACTGCTCCACGCGTCCCAGATCACAGAAGCCTCAAGATTATCTTACACGGGGGCCGTTTTCTTGATTGTGCTCTAGGGGCCCGAATAATCACCAATACTATTTTGGGGGTTCCATATTATGATTAATGATTATAATATAATGGGTCCCAAAACACTAGACTAATGATTGAGGATAGTTATGCTATGCTAGGAAACGGGCTTTCGGCAAGCTCCCCCCCTGGAACCCGTCGTTGTTCTGCGATGACAAACGCAAGCAAGTACAGTATATCCCACACTTGGGGGCCGTAGTAGCCTAAATACTGGAATAGACTTGTTGGGCTGTCTGTAGCTATAACTTGCAACTTTAGTCAGGCACAATGAGGAGTAACATTACAGGGAATTTGCTGAATATTAACGCCCTAAACCTTAAACTATGTTGTTGGGTAAACTATGTTGTGATGACTCCCTGCGGAATGCTGGAGTGGTTGGCAACCCGAACCTTCCATGCTGCGGCCGCACTACAGGACTGCGCAGGCCACGATTCGGCCACGATGCCAGCGAACAGACGGGTCCAGACAAGGTCCGCAGATACCCGAAACCCCGTACACTTCCTGTAAACCATGACACATGGTAGATCTTCTACTGGGCTGGGTTTAGAGAAATGGGGCTCTGGGGTTAAGAGCTTATTAGATGATTGGTGATGCAATGCAGCGCACGTTGGGAATAGCTGCTGATCTATTGGATCTGATGGGAATCGGAGGTCCGGGGGGAGTTTAAGATACCTCTCCACTCCCTGAATGATAATGATGATGATGATGATCTTGATAGTCATGAAGGATGACGATGATGATGCTGGCGATGATGATTACGGTGGTGACAGAAATTCCAAGTGATGGTTTTGATGCTCACTTTAATCAGGATAAGGGTGGCTGCAGACCGCTGTTGAAGATGGACATGGATGTTGCTGTGATGGCCATCATGCAGCTGATAATGCCCATGACGACGACAATGATCATGAAGAAGACGGCCACGCAGGTGCACGACCGATATCGGATGGGTTTGTGCCATGGTGTGGTGTCTGCGATCCCACCAACCCCCCAGACCCTAAATCACAAAACCAATCTCGTGACAGCGGAACCTCATTTCTTGTCCCTCTGTGTTTGCCGAACTCATGAATTAAAGAGTTGCGCAATCATACTGTGTGCTTTATAAATCAAAACACATCAGGCGTCAAAGGAATCACGATCAGTAACATATCAGCGCAGGTATATATTACGATGGTCAATGTTACAACTTACAACTGTTGACTGCCACTATAGCAAGCTATGCTCAATCCGTGATGCTGGTACTATCGTTTGTTGCCGGCACTACGTATATTATACCATAATAATTACAAGGAGCCCCCCAAAACGACAGCATTGCTAACTATTTAGGCTCCTATATTGAGCATTTCAATATCCAAGCTTGGACCTCACGATCGAGTGGTGTATGATTAAACCCCACATTTAGACACCACTTCCTTGCCGCAACGTATCCTAAACCCTACACCCGAAACCATATAAATCCTCATACCTGCCCCAAGGGTCCAAGTGCCTAATAATCATATACTCTCCAAAATCCTAACCTACATAACTACTATCCTAAAACCGAGTACCTAATTATTATATAAGGCCCATATAATAGAACCCTTAGAGTAGCCCTCTTAAAAGAACCTTCTAGCACCCTTTAAAGGAACCCTAATTATTGGGTCCTTTGGACCCTTGGAGCTGCAACCTTGGACACTCAAGAACACCATCGAGATTCTCTGAGCGATGTGTGGCGCATCCCGCAACTTTGGCAAGAAAAAACCGTGGATTCTACCACTGTTTGACGGCTGAAGAGAAGCCTGAAAGCTTAGTTGCCAATCCCGTGGAATAGTTACTCGACCACACAACATAAACCAAAATGTCATACCATGTTGTACCTGCAAGTGTTCAGGAGTGAGTAGTATGACTCCCAGAATGGAGGTCTGACATCGGCAGACCCCGCTTCGCCTGGTCATGCGTAATTACCAGTGTGCCTGCTCATCGACTCGTCGCGGCACTGGGAATGAGGGGCTACGAATTGGGGTATGTAGAGCTGGATTTTCGATAGAAAGCACATCGGTCCAGGTTAATTAATATAGGGGCCTTAATAAGTAGAAAAGAGTTTTGGGGCCCAGTATACTACAATTACGATACGGAACCCCAAAATAGTATTGGTAACTATTTAGGCCCCTAAAGTATGGTTAAGGATTCAGGGCTTCTAGGGGTTGTGAGGGTTTCGGCTCGAGAGGGCACGAGTCTAGCTGCTCCACGTGTTCCAGATCACGGAAGCCTCAAGATAGTCTTACATCGGGGCCTCAATAGGTAAGTTTCAAAGGGTTTGGAGTATGAAAATATTTGTATTCAGGAATGTTCAGGTATTGTTGTCTAGGCTTCTGTGTTTGTTGCTCGCTCGTTGGTAATGGGCTTTCAACAACCCACCTCCCCCTGGAACCTGTCTTAGTTCTGCGATGACAGATGAAACCAAGTACAGTGAGTTATGCCCAACCGGTATTGGTTATTCCACAGCTGGAACTAAGCAATAAAGGGACCTTATTCCATGCTGCGGCCGCGGAGAACTGTGCAGGCGTAGGACACGATTCGGCCACGATGCAAGCGAACAGATGGGTCCAGAAAAGGTCCGCCGAAACCCTGTACACTTTCTGTAAACCATGACACATGGTAGATCTTCTACTGGGCTGGGTTTAGAGAAATGGGGCTCTGGGGTTAAGAGCTTATTAGATGATTGGTGATGCAATGCAGCGCACGTTGGGAATAGCTGCTGATCTATTGGATCTGATGGGAATCGGAGGTCCGGGGGGAGTTTAAGATACCTCTCCACTCCCTGAATGATAATGATGATGATGATGATGATCTTGATAATCATGAAGGATGACGATGATGATGCTGGCGATGATGATTACGGTGATGACAGAAATTCCAAGTGATGGTTTTGATGCTCACTTTAATCAGGATAAGGGTGGCTGCAGACCGTTGTTGAAGATGGACATGGATGTTGCTGTGATGGCCATCATGCAGCTGATAATGACCATGACGACGACAATGATGAGGAAGAAGACGGCCACACAGGTGCACGACCGATATCGGATGGGTTTGGGCCATGGTGTGGTGTCTGGGATCCCACCAACCCCCCAGACCCTCTCACAAAACCAATCTCGTGACAGCAGAACCTCATTTCTCGTCCCTCTGTGTCTGCCGAACTCATGATTAAAGAGTTGCAATCATACTGTGTGCAAACTAAAAAGATCAGGTGGTAAGAAGAATCACAACCAGTAACATACCAGTATTTCACTGACGCTGGTATACGATGAGCAAGGCTACTAAAGTGACTGCCACTTGCAACCTATTGTTCAATCCGTGATGCTGGTACTATCTCTTGTTGCTACCGTCGGCCAAAGGCACTACGTATATTATATATACCATAATTATAATCAGGAACCCCCCAAAAGACAGCATTGCTAACTATTTAGGCCCCTATATTGAGCATTTCAATATCCAAGCTTGGACCTCACGATCGAGTGGTGTATGATTAAACCACATTTAGACACCACTTCTGTCACCCAACGTACCCTAGGCCCTAAACCTTATTGGGCAGCTGAAAAGCAGCCATTAAAGGCAGCCGCCGATAAGTGCAGATTTCCAGGGGTCCGGGCCGATGGCGCCACGGGTACCAAAACAAGCCAGAAAATCGTGGTTTAAGTGCACTGATTCGTAACCATGGTTGCTGTGGTGTTTTCCAATGCTTTAGTGGCCTAGAATGAAGACAATGATTCGTGGCGATTTCCCAAAAGTTTCTGACAGCTGCAAGAAGTGTAAAGGGCTGCCATACAGGGCTGCCCGCTGTGTACAACGTTGGGTTTTGAGTGGAACTTGTGGCCGGGATTCCACGCTTTGTTCTTGTAGAAAATTGCCCTCATCCGGACGGCCGGGACGACAACCAAAAAAGCAAATGGAATGATAGCTGTCGCTTCTCGTCGGTGCTTCTCCTCGAACGTCCGGTGTAGTGTCAAAGAACCAACGAAAAACCTTGGGAAAAAGCTGAAAAGCACTTGAAACGCACCTGAAAAACATTGAAACGCACCTGGCCTTTTTCAATGCTTTAAATCCCTAATAACAGTCATAAACTCCCTGAACTGAAATAAAGAAGCTGTTCTGTCTTAGGCCTGTGGCACAGCAAAATCGTTTAGAACTGCACCTTTCGCCTTGTACACACGCTACAGGGAAGCTGGGAACGTGAAAATTCATTATTTAGCACGGGTCATATATTAGGAGCAGCTGCGAGTCGAACGACGATTGGATCCAAGCCAACACGTTCTGTGGCGAGACCGGTGCAGGCTGCCGGTGAAGGAGCTGCTCGTCGAGGTACCTGTTCCAGGGTAGCTTGAAGTTTAGTAGGGCCTGTTGAAACAAACAGTCGAAGTCAAAGTTGGCAGTTGAGGCTGAGCTTTCTTTTCCTCTCGTGAGGCCATGCTTGCGAGAGCCTAGTAAGAGTCGGCCTGCCTGGCAGCAGCAGTCCGTCGAACTGCGGTCAGCTTCACTTCTTCTGGGTCAAGTCCAGGAAAGCAGTCAAGGAGAGTCTCTGCCGGGCAGGCACGAACGACCGCTCCAGGATCTTCATCATGGTCTGGTCGTGCGGCATCGCCTTTTCGCAGACACGAAGGGCCATATTGCGAATGGCGGCGGCTGTGGCCTCCTCCGTCTCCCGCACGAACGTCTTCGGAGGCATTCTCCAGAGCGACGCATCCCTGGGGCTGAAAATGTCGAAAAACGAGACGGCGGCCGCCCACACGTCTGCAGAGCACGTCAATCGCACCTGCTGGGGCAATATGATTCAGGGACGGCTGCATTTCAGCCTACAGTACATAGGGGTCGGGGTAAGCATGAAACGGGTGCAGGCTTAGGCTGTTGAAGTTTGAGGGTGCCTCGGCATTTTCTCCCTTTTTATAACTGTCCATGCCTTCCGGTCGTCCGCCATGAGGCACTCGGGGCACCGAAGGGCTTCCGTATAGGCACGGTTGCCGATCACGCAGCAAGCCTCTTGCACCATCTCCCGTGCCAAGCCGAAGTCCGCAATCGCCGCTCGCTTGTCTTCGAAAACGAGAATGTTACTCGGTTTCACATCGAGATGCAAAAACGAACGTCCGTGCACGTACGAGAGGCCGACGAGGAACTGCTGAAACAGCGGGACCAGCGACTTGCGGCGGGCCAGCCAGCCGTCTCGGCCCTCTTTCAGCCTGCACGCAGCGGCATGCAGGCTTTCGGTTGCCGGCTCGAGCAACAAGGCGGGCCGACCGAGCGAGCTGGTGAGAACGGCGAAAGCGCGAACGACGTTCGGGTGCTGCCCGACGGACGTGAGCACGTCGAACTCCTCAGCGACGTCGACTCCACCAACAGCTGCCTGTCGCATGGGGTCTGGCAACGAACGGCCTTTGCCGACTTTGAGAACGAGAGGCTGCCCGAGGAAGCTTGTGCGAAAGACCAAGCCATACGCCCCTGAACCGACCTCCTCCAAAGGCCCAAGCGGCGACCCGAGAGTCCACGTCCACATGTCCAGGAGGACGTCGTGCCTGTTTGCAACTGGTCTTCTGTCATCGTCCTCGTCAGGCATCCGGTCGTCCTCGGGCTCTTGGTCGGGCGAGGCCGCACGCCGGTGCCCCTTTTTGAAAGCAGCGGCCTTCTTGCGATTGTCCTCGTAGGCCCGGTGAGCTTGGTCGAAAAACCTTTTGCGAACGTCCTTGCTCTTTTTGTGGTTCCTAAGTGCAAGCATGCGAAAAGGCTTGGGATTCCGCTTGGCTGCTTCCTAGCTGTCTCTCTACCCAATGTTTCTCCATAGAGTTCCAGGTCTGGGCGGGTCTGCAAAGCCTAGAGAGATAATTCCGGACGCAGAACTGCGAGATGAGAAGGTTGGACGAGGCCTCTAATTCGGAGCAGTGACCAAGACCAAGACGAGCCACCTGCAGAAGCCAAACCTTTCAGACCACTCTGCTTGGATGATTTGGGTATTAAGCGATTTCTGGCAATTGGTACGAGAAGCACGAATGGACTAACTTTCTAGTCATGCTAGCCTATTCAATAAAACTCATGGGTGCCGTCCCTATAGTTTAATTGAGCAGGAGCCCGAAGGTCTGACTATATCTGCTGTGGCGAGTTGGCAAAACAGTGACTCTGATTTCCTCGAAAAAGAAACTTAAAATAAAACCGCAACCCAAACTGAGAAACACGCTAATCTCTTGATTCATGCATTAAAAGCAGCCCCAACCTTCGAACCTCCTGGCCAAGCGAGAGAAATAGAAACAACCCTCTGATTCGTCTGATTTCCCTCTAGTCTCGAAGCTGAGGCTATAGACAATCCTAAACCTGAACTTAGGACCTTAAACTCGTAAAGCTGCTGCCGGATTCAAGCGAAGGCACCATGGCAGCTACTTGCCAGCCTGTCAACTACACTACCGCGAAGCTGCAGCCGGACCTTCAGAACTTCTGTGCTTGCAAGGCTCCTAACGTTTGCAAGCTGCAAAACCTGGAACCTGGCAAGCGGTGCTGCAACAAGAAAGCTTTGCAGAAAAACGAGTCAGAGAATCGAGCCTGCAGCATCCAAGGGAGGATCGCGAGCTTCCTGCCTTGCATGTGGACCTTAGCGACACAGAGGGGACGGGGTGTGGAGTCTTGTGGGGAAGGGCAAAGCCACACTGCCGGCTCGACACTACTGCACTGCAGTTCTAAGAAGTGGAGCTAGAGCTGTGAGCTTCGCAGGGCTCGGACTTTTTTTCTCCTTGCATGTGTCTCACGCAGCACCAAGGGACTTGAGTGACCCAGACCGACCTTAAAGAGTCGAGAAGCCAGGTCGCCACGCTTGGCCTTCTGCACCTCCGGCCGGCGACAAGAGACCCACGCCAAGCAGGAGAACACTCAGCCGAGCTTCTGCAGGACGGCCTGTGCCTCCTCAGAGATCTCCAGGCCCTCGAAGGTTTCTGCCCACTTCCACGCCTGACGAATGACCTCGCAGCCCGCCCGCTTGCTTCCCACCGCCGTCCACGAAATGCTCCGACAGGCTTGGGCCCAACGAGCACTGTACGACAGCTTCCAGCGACCGTTTGGGTCGTCCCTGTAGGCCCGCACACGGAATGGCACGGAGACCTGCACGGCCCGATCGACGTTCTCATCGCAGTCCGCATAGCACCGCTTGACAGCGGCCGCCCTCTCCTTCGCCGCCTTGGCCTCCCGCTTTTCCTTCTCCTTTCGAGCGGCCTGTGCGGCTTTGAAGGCCGGCTGCCGAGCAAAAGTCTTGGCCACGTGCTCGAACGTCCTGACGCCACGCTTCCGAACGTCTACGGCCGACTGCTGAGTGGCTCGCCTTTTCGCCAGCTGTTGCAATGCTTGGTCTTGATCGGCCGCTAACATGGTGTCACGAATGACCTCCTCGAGGTCGACGCCAGCTCCCTCGCCCCATGTGGCGGCCTCTTGCCTGTGAAGCAGGCGGCCGACCACTTCTTCCTTGGTCAGGGACGCATCGAGCGACAGCATGCAGGCGATCGCGAGGCGGTCGTCTTCCTCGTGGCCGGGCTCGTCTGCCTCGATCTTCCAGCCTTTGTTTGCTGCCAGTCTTCGCAGAGCCCATTCAGGCACCCCGGCAAAGCCGCTCTGTTCCTGATGCACGAGCAACGGTCGCTTGGCCGCCACTTTGAAGGCGATGCCGTGTGGGTGACGTTCGCCCAAGGATCTCGCACCTCAGCCGCAGAAAACAGCGCCGAAATTACGCAAGTGCCACCAAAAAAACAATGAATTACACTCTCCACAACCTTTCTGATTGACACAGCTGCCTAGCAACCTATAGTATATTTATGCCCTACCCAAGCAAGTTGTAGGACGTCCCAACCCACAGGGCTGTCTCCTCGAAGCTCAGGAAACTAGAAGACAATTGGCCCGAAAGCATCATCAGCGAAGATTGTGGGGCTATGTGATAGATCCAGTGTATAGGATCGTAAAGTCACAGAGTCAAGAGTCATAGAGTCCATGAGTCATGAGTCATAAAGTCATAGAGTTACAGTGAGATAGCGTCATAGAGTCATAGTGAGATATAGAGTCACAGAGTCATGGAGTCATCTATGTACCATGCACTTGACTCGATGTAGTTCACTCTATGCTCTATGTGTGGGAACGCTTAATCGAGATCCCCATAGCGTGAGGGCTCATAGCCTGACCTGGACCTCGAGATGCAGATACAGTCAAGAGTCATAGAGTCCATGAGTCATGAGTCATAAAGTCAGAGAGTTACAGTGAGATAGCGTCATAGAGTCATAGTGAGATAGAGTCACAGAGTCATGGAGTCATCTATGTACCATGCACCAAAATGTGTAACTTCACCTCGCGCTCGAACACTCGACAACGCCAATCTGTGTGAAGGGTTGCAAAATTCATCTCAATGCTCATCAAAAAATGCAACTTTACCTCGCGTTCGAACACTCGACCACGCCAATCCCTGTGAGGGGTTGCAAAATTCATCTCAATGCTCATCAAAAATTGCAACTTTACCTCGCGTTCGAACACTCCACCACGCCAATCCCTGTGAAGGGTTGCAAAATTCAGCTCAATGCACATCAAAAAATGCAACTTTACCTCGCGTTCGAACACTCGACCACGCCAATCCCTGTGAAGGGTTGCAAAATTCATTTCAATGCACATAAAATAATCCATCTCAATGCTCGTCAAAAAATGCAACTTTACCTCGCGTTCGAACACCCGACCACGCCAATCCCTGTGAAGGGTTGCAAAATGCCAATCCCTGTGAAGGGTTGCAAAAAAAAATGAACTGCACCCAAACCCTGTGAAGGGTTGCGCGGCGCCCGCAAAATGTGTAACTTTACCTCGCGTTTGAACACCCGAGGAGGCGAATCCCTGTGAAGGGTTCACGGCGCCCGAAAAATGTGTAACTTTACCTCGCGTTTGAACGCCCGAGGCAGCGAATCCCTGTGAAGGGTTCACCCGGGCGCCTAAAATGTGTAACTTTACCTCGCGTTTCAACGCCCGAGGCAGCGAATCCCTGTGAAGGGTTCACCCGGGCGCCTAAAATGTGTAACTTTACCTCGCGTTTGAACGCCCGAGGAGGCGAATCCCTGTGAAGGGTTGCGCCGGGCGCCTATTAAGTTAAAAAATGTGTAACTTTACCTAGCGTTTGGGCGCTCGCCTATGCCAATCCTTGGGAAGGGTTGCGCCGGGCGCCTAAAATGTGTAACTTTACCTCGCGTTTGAACGCCCGAGGAGGCGAATCCCTGGGAAGGGTTGCATTCCCGATGGACGACAACGGTGCCACCCCCTGGCTTTAGAAGAGAGAATTAGATACCGAGATGTAGAGAGTAAGTCATAGAGGCATAGAGTCAAGTAAGTAAGTAAGTAAGTAAAAGTAAGTAAGTAGGTAAGTAAGTAAGTAACTAAGCAAGTCAAGTAAGTAAGTAAGTAAGTATAAGTAAGTATAAGTAAGTATAAGTAAGTATAAGTAAGTATAAGTAAGTATAGAGATAGCATAGAGTCCAGTGTCAAGTGTCAAGTAAGTTAGTAAGTAGATTGAAGTAAGTAAGTAAGTAAGTAAGTCGTAAGCATAACATAGAGTCAAGTATCAAGTGTAGAGTCAAGTATCATAGAGTCAAGTGTCAAGTGTAGAGAGTCAGTCATAGGGGTCAAGTAAGTAAGTAAGTATCAAGTGTAGAGTCAAGTATCAAGTGTAGAGTAAAGTATGGAGTCAAGTAAGTTGATTCTATGTCTGTCATCTATGTACTCAGCTGCGGCGTTCCACACGGAAGAACCCTTCGCGATGCTTTCGGGAATAAAAAACCTTCTAAATTCCCTTGCTTAAGCAAACATTTAAACACTATGTAGCTCTGTACTTTAAGCTAGGCTTTAGGGACCATAAAGCTTTGATCTTGCTGGGCTTCACGGGGCTGGGCATGTCGGGTTGGGCTATAGAGGGGCTGATTATCTCTATAGGGCCTACTCATTATGGGGGTTGGGCCAATTTCCATCCTTTCTTGAAGGCGGCTTGGGAAGCTTTGTGAGATTTGTGAGCACAAAAACCCTTGAAAGGAGCCAGAACACGCTGCGGCGACGTGGCCACCAGTTCGAGAACCTCCACGTTCTCGTCCCGCAGATGCAACCAGCAGAGCGACGTGACATCGGTCTGCAAAACGAGCTTTTCGTGGCGGAAGGGCTCCAGTTTCGCTGGCCAGACTAACGCAGCCCTCCCGTAGGTTCGAACGACGTAACACGGGTCCACACTGGGAAAAAGCAGCCCGTGGCCTTCAGGGGCGAGCGACGCCCACCAGGCCGTTTCCACGAAGGACCAGTCAAGCTTCTCGCGAACGACCTTGCTCAAGAGCGAAAACGCCGCCAGCTTGTCCTGCTCGCTCTCGGGGGTCGGCGACGCTGCAGCAAGGCCTCCTCCACGGTCTCCTCGTCGATCACCTCCACGTCCACAGGCACCGACGAACAGCTCGAGTCTCGCCGAACGGCCCTCTTCTTCCGCACGAACCAGTCGTCCGCCTCGAAGGACTGGGGAACGGTCACCAACGTCCCGCAAGCGACCTCTGGACGGCCGTAGGACTGGAGCAGCTTCTTTTTCGAGAGGCCGCGCCAGCCCTCGAGACGGCCAGCTGGACCTTGTTCCCGTCCTCGACGAGCTTGCTGTTGAGCAGACCGCCCCACCTGTCGCTCAGCCAGGCGAATGTCTCGAAGGGCACCTCCACGAACGACGCAGCTCTGAGCCCCGAGAGACACTTGGCCATGACTGGCCCCGTGGCCGGGTGGCCTTCGAGCAGCTTCTTGGCCTCCAGAGACTTCGCCCGACACAGTCCACTTGCTCAAGAAACCGCAAGCTAGCCTGCCGACAGGCCGTGGACTCGTGCAACAGACCGGCCGTCGAACCCCAGCCGTTGGTAGGCAGTGTGTCAGCTTCGTCACCCTGCGAGCGACTGTGTCCTGCCAAACCGTAGCGGCTTCTCGGTCGTCCTCTGAGCCTGCAGGATCGACCATGGAGAGGTCTAGGCCGAGCCTCTCCAACCCCCCCAACTCCGAAAGCCGAACGACGTGCTGGCGGGCCGTGTCCATGTAAGACCAGTGAGCCCAGCTGCTGAAGTACAGCACGGTCGACTTCTTGCTTCGCAACTCCTCGAGCATCTTGGAACAGCGAAGACCTTCGGGCTGCAGTACGTAGAAGACAGTCCTGGCGAGAGACCGGGTGTCTGCATTGCACGCAAACGTAGTCATGGAATGCAGTGTGTTTACCGAACGACCCCGCTGCTTCGCCAAAGCTTTCCGAGCGGCCGATTTCGCGGCCGCCCTCGTGGTCCCTGCCATCTCCCCCACGCCGGTGGCATCGGGCGACCAGAGCTCAGCGGCTGTCTTAACCCAACCTTCGGCCACGCACAGAGTGGCCAAGACCAGGCAAAAGGCCGACCAATCGCGGTCGAGTTCCGAGTGGGCGATCGTCAGACTGTTGAAGCGAGATTGCGACGCCTTGCTGCCCTTCGCTCGGACGAACGGCCGGTTCGGGAGCGACTCCAGAAACGCACGCCGGTGCTCTTCGGTGTTCTCGTCTTGCGAACGGCCCTCGTCTGCGAGAATCTCCGGAAAAAAAGCGAGCAGCAACGGATCCGAAGGCTGCATCGAACGGCCCATCTCGTCCGCCATCCCCTGCACCTTCCCGAACCACGTGCCCTTGTTCCACGGGCCATACCGAACGTTGTATAGCCCGATCGACATCAGGCCGAACGTCAGGAGCCCGCTCGCTGCGAGAGCCAAGTGACAGTCGTTATGCGAACGGTGGGCGGGGTCGTTCACGTGTTCCACGAACATCGAGCGACCGAACTTCAAGTAGTTCGCGGCCGCCAACTGAGTGGCCTCCTGATCCGTACAAAGGATCAGGATCTTCTGTCGAACGGCCTCTCCTTCCGCCGTAGCGGCTGCGAACGTCGACCAGCTCAAACCGACGCTCGAGAGGCTGTGCGACATGTCCCGCAGCCACTCTTGGGTGGCCTGCCGCTCTGGCTGCTTTACGCCGCCAACGACACTGTCTGGCGAACGGCCCTTGGTCCCCGCCTTCTGGAAGAACTTCGTGATGCGGCCGGCCCACATGGCCTCCCAAGTCTCAGAGGTGATGCTCGTTCCTTTCTTCACCTCTCAGGGCCCAGGTGCTGTGATTTGCTAATCCGCTAACACTTTGTTGTCGCTTCGGGCTTTTGAACTTGGATTACGTGGCTTAAATGACGAGGATCTGAAAAAACCTAGTAACGATAGTTTAGTTGCTGCCCTGTCTCGACCTCAAACACCTTAGCAGACCCGTTAGGGTTCCCTTCTGTTCTAGAATCCTTATCTGTGTTCCAGATACTAAGTCTTGCAAATGATGCACCAAAGAAAACGACAGACGCCTAAAGAAAGCTATCTGTATACCGGCAACTTTAAATAGACCCAGTATAGCCGCCTACTGAACCCCTGTTCGCCAAAAAAAACTGCCGATAGATAGATGCTTACAGACGTAGCTGCAAACATAGAGGTTTTGTTGCATCGGCTAAAATGAAACCTACAAACTCCCTAAAGAACCTTGGCAGCAGTCCAGAAGTGGTCCAAAAAGGTTGCCTCTTTGTATCAAAAAATACAAAATTTTGGTCCAAAAAAGGACAAAAAAAAACAGCAGCCTTTATCCGCATATTTTTTCGCAAAAAAAAGCAGCCTTTATACGCAGAAAAAAAAAGCAGCCTTTATACGCAGATTTCGGGATCCTGGGTCCCAGGCCAGTAGTATAGCTAGAAAGCAAAGCCCTGGCCCCGGATCACCGGCACGCTGGCCGGCGAGCGAAAAAGCAGCCTTTATCCGCAGATTTTTTCAGGCGCCTTTATCCGCAGATTTTCAAATTTGTGATTTTGGCCGAAGACCCCGAAGGCGCCTTTATCCGCAGATTTTTTTACGCCTGAATTTGGTCAAATTTCGCCAACATTTTCGCCTAAATTTTCTACCACAGATTCAACCCAGAAGCCTCCTTCCCGGCCTGCTGCGGCAGAACGAACGACAAGTCCTGGGCTGGGTCGCAGACAAGCACGTTCAACCAGTCTTCCTGCCCAATGTGAACGGCATCTGCGACGACGCTCAGAACGGCAGTCTCGGCGAATGTCCGCTTGCCGGAAGCCAAGTAGGACAAACGCTCGGCCTCGAGAAACTTCCCTGGCCTGTCCTTGTTCCTTCGAGAAACCTCGCCCGATTTGGAGGCGAAATGCCCCTGTGCCTGCAAAGCCGCACCGACCGAGTGTCCAAGGTCCGACTGCAGAACGGCCTCCTTGCAGCCGTGGGAGATCTTGCGGTAGCCCCTGGCAGTCCTGCGATATGTCTTTGGAGTGGCGGAAACAGCGAAAACACTTGGGAAAAAGCTGAAAAACACCTGAAACGCACCTGAAAAACACTGAAACGCACATGCAGACATGTAATGGCTCTTAGGATTATAATCGTGGAAGGTTTAGGGAGCTTTTTGCAATACTTCCGAGTCCTGAGCTGGTCCAGCGACTCGACACGAACGTCCGTCCAGATTGGCTTCTCTCGGCTTCCATCAATCGCTGCTGCGAGCGACTTGAGCAACCGAGAAAACATTTTTTCCGAGAGACGGCGGCGGTCCTTCGACAGACTTCTCCGCGCTGCATCCGCCTGCAAGCTCGCGAGGGCATTGACCACGGAGACGTCCTCCTTGCCTAAACCCTTCACTGCCTTGTTCCCAAACACCTCTGCCACGGAGGCCACGCTCAAGAGACCTTCCGAAATTCGCAATCCGTCGATGTCCACGTCCTGCCAAAACGTGTCCTGCAGACCGACAAGCCAGGCTCTGGCCCGAGCCTGGACTTCGACCTTGGACAAAGTCCACCTTGCATCAGCTCTCGGGCCCTTTGCCATCATCTGCGACATCCAGCACAAACAAGCGAACGTCGACACACTAAAGTCGCTGACCGCGAGTGGCTCGTCTGGTTCGCCAACCCCCATGTCGACGTCCTCGGTCGCCTCGGCCTGCTCGGCATCCTCGGCCTCCTCCTTGACCTCCATTTTGTCGTCTGAGTCTGGTGCAACTTCGGGTTTCGTTCTATTCTTCTTTCGTTTGGCACCGGCGATACGCTTCATCATACTCGATTCACTTACATGCATCTCCGCACTAGGGACTTTCACGTCCGCCGCTTCCCGGTCGGCGGCCTCCTCCTGGTCGTCTTCGCTTGCCTCTTCCTTGACCTGCTGAGATGACTCGTCGGAACTCAAGCCATCGCCCAGAACGGACATCGTGCGAGCGACCACTGTGTCTCGCATCTTGCCAGCAAAATTCCCTATTTTGTTTCCTCCCAAAAAATCCACTATCCATCGAACGACCCAAAAGAAATACCCCGGATACGATAAGCCATCTTCGGCCTCGACCGGCTCACGAAACTGGTACACTTCGCCTTGTACTGGCCCTTTGCACCACACGGCAACACGATCGCTCGAACGTCTCTCGCTCGAACGACCGTGCCCGCCATGCTTTCCGAGGCAACTCTCTTAAAAACGCCGTCTACTCAGTCAACTGCTTAGCCGCGGCCTTAATGAATTGTTGCCATCACAGTACCGCTCTGTCACAAAACTACCATTAAGTATGATATTTATATCTACCATACTTACATTCATTATGCCTAGTCCTCCGCCCGTACCATCTGTTGCTGTTCTTGTGTCGGCACTACAAAACCAGACGGCTGCAAAAGCACAGGCTGTTACGGCAACGGGACCAGGAGGCAAGGGAGAGCGAAGCAGGAGCCGAGCACCGTGCATCCACACCGGGAGTCGGAAGCCAACCTGGCGGCGAGGACGGGGAGTCTGGTTTTGACTAAGCGAACGACAAACCGCAGGAAACCGCTAGGAAAACATTGGGAAAAAGCTGAAAAAAAACTTGAAACGCACCTGAAATACACTGAAACGCACACACAGAACTCTAAAGGGTCTATGCTCCTAACCTGGAAGCCCTTAACGCAACAAAAGGCTAAAGTTTCCCAGCACTCCGAAAATATTGCAAAAACCTTGAGAAAAAGCTGAAAAACACCTGAGACGCACCTGAAAAACCCTGAAACGCACCTTCCTCCCTCAAATGCTGTATATCTCTCTTTTTCCCAAAGTCCCCACTTGTGCAGAAGGAATCTGGACCCCAATCAAAATCGCCGTTGTGCCTCGGACAGCGACAACGAACTACTTCGTGAGACGTGCTGCCACAGCTCACTTGCTCTGGTCCTTCTTATCAAGGCTCCACTTCGCACGGGGATCGATTTTGCGAGTGGCATCGAAGAGGGTGCGACATTGGAAAGATACGAGCGGCTTCGCCTTCGAATAGACCGTGGCCGACGGCACCAACTCATCGGATAGGACCCATGTGTCGTCACCCTCGAGAGACGGCAAAGCGGCAACCTCATCTGCGAAATGGCAACAGAGCTCGCCGTCTGCCAAGGCATAGCACGGCTTGGTCTCCTTGCATTCCGCCGCCAAGATCGAGGACCCGTGCAACCTGAACCGTTCCTTGGCCAGCTGCTCTAAGACTTCGAACGACCGACAGTTGGACGGCAACGGAACGTCCTCGTCGACGAAGAACTGCACGCAGAAGAAGACATCGAGAATCTGCTCGGCCATGCCGTCCTTCGGGATCCCCACTCCGATGCACTCCAACATGCGAACCTTGGCATCCGATGGCAGCTCGCCCCACGTTTTCGCCTTTCCGGACCATCGGTCGGCCACGTGAACCTCTGGGCCGTCCTTCTCGGCCGGCACTCCTTTGAGAAGTGCCTGGAGAGCCCCATCACGGATTAAGTCCGCGAGGCCACGGATCCAGCCCGGATTATCGTCCAGGGCTTGGTCCACGAACGACCTGGCTCTCTCGTTGGACCCCTTGGAGTAGTTCTGGAGCGACTTCGCGAAGACCTTTTCGTTCTTCTTTTTGATCTTCTCATCCTTGACCCTCCTCCGAGCGGCGACTTTCTCCTGCTGCTTGCGAACCACCGCCGCTTTCTTCTCGGCCGCCGCTGACGATGCCCTGCCGCCCGTCTTAGCCATGATCGCGACGACCACGAACGACGAACAAGCGACCGAACGGCCGAGTGCGAAGAAAGCTGGGGGACGTGCTCACTCAGTACCCTTGATAACAAATTTTACGTGATTCGCTTCAGCAGTCGAGCTTTCAAATCGCAGACGCCAATCATTGAATCTCTGAAGCATTCACCCTCCTAGTGCAAATTGCCTCAATACTGAGCCACCCCGAAAGAAAAAACACTGCAACTGCCATGCCCTCATGTGCAACACCCTGAACACTGCCGAACGACGTGGACGGCCTACTTTGAACTCTAGTAGCCCTGAACCGATTTCCCATAATAACGAACGACGTGCAATTGCATTTTCTTTAGAAGGATTGGGTTTATTTAATCTCAATTATATGACCTAGAACCTATGTGTATGCTTGAAGAATTTATTTGCTTCTTGATTTAAAGGGTAGCAACAAGTGTTTAAAGGTTTGGGTTTTGTTGCCACTCGCAAAACCGAAACTTTGTCACTATACCAAATTCTCAAACTACCGCAACTAAGGAATTAAGAAAGCCCTGCGACTTGAGAGCAGAGAGAGGCCCTTCGGGATGCCAAAGCGAACGACCTCCTGCCAAGGATGGGGCTGGCCGGGATATTCCGTGTTTAGACGCTTGAGTTTCAAGCAAGGAGGGGGGGGGCGGTTAGGGTGGGTATGGTTGCTACAGCATACAACGGCTTCAGTGCCAGAGCACAACAAGAATAATGATCTAGTACATTAAGGAATAGAGAAGTCATTGCCTGGGTTTACATGGTTATTGCTTTGATTTAGAACTATAGGAATGAAAATGTGTCCCTACTTCAGCATAATAAGATTTAGATTTCCTATTAAAGGCTTGGGTCCCGGGCTGTATGGTTTGGGCCACAACCTAGTGTAAAAAGCTGTGTCTCAGGGTTTCAAAGTTTGCACGTCGGGGCCTAGTTACCCAAAGAATCTTCTTAGGCTGTTAATTGATAGGATATATACTATCCTATTATAGGATATATAGGCTATTTATAAATAGCCTAAATAGTCTATTATAGGATATGTAAATATCCTAAAATAGACTAATTTTCTATGTCTTGAAATGCCATCGTATTGGCATTGAGCTGCAAGGCCACAATAAGTTGCTTGCATCAGTGCCTTCACTTGGCATGTGAAAGGGTCAGCAGGAAGCCAAAGGCTCCTAAGGTTGAGCTAGGATTCGTAGCGAGACAGGAAACCGAAGGCTAGATCTAGAGTAATGATCGAGAGGAACAGGAAGCCGAAGGCTCCTCTAGAGTAATGATCGACAGGAAGCCCAAGGCTCCTCTAGTTTGCATGCCTGTAGAGTGTGAATGCTTGTTTAATGCATGTGCATATATCTGCAGCTTTTGTGCTCGAAGCTCTTAAGCTAGTGCCCTTCGAAGCCATGAGGGTGGCAGCTCTTGTGCTGCTGGTGGCCGTGTGGGGCCGTGTCGACGATGGATGGGAAGTCGTTCGCACAACTCCTGAAGATGGTGCAGCTGGTGCTGGTGCTGCCCCGAACCAGCCGATGCAGGTGGACGAGGAGGGCCCTCCGGAAGTGCCAGTGCCGGTGCAGGCGGAAGTGATCCCCGGTGCTGGTGCTGCAGGTCCGGAAGTGCCAGTGCAGGCGGAAGTGATCCCCGGTACTGGTGCTGCAGGTCCGGAAATGCCAATGCCGATGGAGGCGGAAGTGATCGACCTGAGCTTCGAGGAATCTGCGGAGCTCCATGAGGCGGCGGAGAAAGCGAAGGCAGCCGCTGCTGCTGAGAAGGCGAAAGCTGCCGCTGAGGCGGCTGAGAGGGCCAAGGCTGCCGCTGAGGCGGCTCAGAGGGCGAAGCTCGAAGAAGCTGAGAAAAAGAAGGCAGAAGCTCTAGCAAGGGCTCAACAGAAGACGAAGATGCACGAGGAGGCTGCCAAAAAAACTCACGAGGCAGCAGAGAGGCTAGCTGAGCTTTGCATGGCTGAAGAAGAGGCAGCAGCCCGTTTGGAGCAACTGCTGCAGCAGGCGGCCTCCAGCTCAGGCGCCACTTCAAAAATTTAGGAAGCCAATGGCTCCTTCAGCTTTATAAGTATACATGCATGCAGATGGATCAGGCAGCCACAGGCTCCTAAGCTCCGGTCCGGCCTGCAGGTGCTCAAAGCTCCACGTGGAGACCGGGTGCACCTGGCCCGGAGCAGACTCAAAGCCCAGGCTCGATCCCGACAAAATCTTTTAATCTAAGACGGCCTGCAGGTTGTCAAAGCTCCACGGCTGCACCTGGCTCGGAGCAGACTCAAGGCCCAGGCTCGACCCCGACAAGTTCTAAGGCTTAATATAGGAAGCCCATGGCTCCTTCAGCTTTTAAGTAGGATGGATCAGGCAGCCACAGGCTCCTAAGCTCTGGTCCGACCTGCAGGTTGTCAAAGCTCCCCGTGGGCAACTGGTCCGGAGCAGACTCAAGGCCCAGGCTGGACCCGGCAAAATCTAAGGCATGTAATCGATCCAGATCCCTGCTGCAGGTGCTGGAGTTCCCCCGTGGCGGCGAGCTGTTCCTGAAAGTCCACCACCGCCGCAAGGGCCGCCGCCGCAAGGGTGGCAAACTCAACCGCCGCAAGGGCCGCCGCCGCAAGCGTGGCATACTCAACCGCCGCAAGGGCCGCCGCCGTTAAGCTGGCCTCAAGGACATGCTTGGGCTCCAGGCTACCCTTGGCACTCCTCAAGCATGGCCTGGAGTCACGTGGCCTCCTCCGCTAGGCTGGCCCAGCTGCACGTGGCCACAAGGTCCACTTCAAGCTCCACCTCAAGGTCCACTTCAAGCTCCACCTCAAGGTCCTCAAGCTCCACCTCAAGTTCCTCAAGCTCCACCTCAAGTTCCACTTCAAGCTCAAGGTGAAGTTCACTTTCAAGCTCAAGCACAAGCTTCACCTCGACCTCCACCTCCACCACCTCAAGTTGAACCTCAAGCTCGAGAAGCTCCACTCCCACCGCAGGAACCTCCACGTCCACAAGCTGAAGGTCGACCAGAAGCTGCTGGGTTTTCAGGTGGACAAGCTCGTGCAGGACATGGTTTAATCAGGTAGCCAGCGGCTCCTTTTTTACAGGATTTATAAATCAGGTAGCCAGCGGCTCCTTTTTTACAGGATATTGGTGGCATCGTAATGCTTGCTTCCAGGACCTCGCCTCGACCTACGATGGTGCCGTGTCTGCCATGCCCAGAGCTACTACCAG